TGGGTTACTGTATAGCAGCAGTAGCCTTTTAGCGACCTTTACTGCCCCAACTAGAACTTCTTTGTTATGCGAGGAAGTACAGATCCGCTCAAAGACACCGGTAGCAACCGCCAAGGAAGTGTCCAGTTTTCTTGCCCTCAGTGCCTATCTTACTGTCTGTGGAAATAGTTAAGTTCTTCTGACTCAAGTGGGCTGACAATTACAGCGCTGTGGTGTCCGCTCCAACCGCCAACTGCCTCAAATCCTCTCCGAAAACAGCTAATTATGACAGCACAGAGCGGTTACGTGCCAGTGAAGCTTGAAAAGGAGAGCTAGGCTGGTGCCATCTGAGTACCACTCACTTGGACAAACGGTGAACGTGGACACAACTTCCCAGCGAACAGTTTGTTTGATTAATTTAAGAAAGTCAAAGGCCCGGTGTAACGAGCTGTTGACTAGTCTACTTGTCCGAAAGAGGAAGGGGGGAGTGAAAGGCGGCCTTACCAGAGTCCTCAATACTTTCCACTTCTAACCGCTCAATGGCCTGACGGAGACATTCGAGGTGCAGATGAGCAGTAGACTTTAATGGGTCCTCCTGTTTGTCCTTCATATCAAAACCTTCCCAAGTGGCGTCCAACAGCTGCAGTAGGCCCCTTAAAATTAAACACACACATATATAGGTGCATATTAGTATGGAAAAATGGACAGCCAAGTTACTCGGCAAATGTTGAAACTAAAAGAACCGCAGCCCGACATCTTACGTGGCATAACTGGCAGTGTTTTCTGCGCAAAGTTTCGTATGAAGATAGCTCAGTGTGCAGAATACATCATCCTGAATGGATTTGCACGACTCCAGGGAGCGGAATTCAGAGAGGCAGGACCCATCGGCCACGAAAGCACCCATGCTCAGTCGACCAAAAATTGAATGAACACGGATCAGGCCAGCTATCAAATGGGCTAGCGCGTTGGGGGGAAGTTGACGGGTCACAAAGGAAGTCCTAAACAGCTAAAACGAGAAGGCGAGAAACGGACTGAGAATCAGATGTGGAAGAAGACAGAAGTAATCGTTTTAGGAATACTAGACACGGCTGGAGAAAGAGAAAGAAAAGTAGGAACAAGACTCACCTGAATAGCACAGCCACAGTTAGCCTGGACGAAAAGGGCAAAGTCTTCAGCACGCAGTCTTAACTGAGGAATGATACCAAGGGCCACAAGGCTCAACTGGATACCCAAACGGGTGATTATGTTGGAGGCATGGGGAAGCAGAAGGTCGCGTGTGGAGACGGCTGGAGAGGAAAAAAATAGAAAAGTTTACAGCCCAATTATCTTCACTAGACGGTAGTTTTGTCCACAGATGACGGTTCGACCGTCAATGCCCACCGCGTGCTTCAGCCAGCTGAAGGCGAACGCGGCGACTTGCGCGACTTGTGCTGCATCTACTACACTATCTGCCTCCGATTTCAT